AAGAGAAAAAAAAACGCTTTCTTCCAATTGAAAAGAAAAAATTTAAGACAATACGTAAATATTCGAGCAGGCTCCTCATAGGCGTAGCTAACGTGCCACCTTTTCTTTCACAACAAATTTGTCAAAACTTATTTAATTCCAGAAACGCCTAGCGGGTTACTAATTTATTATATCCCAGCCTCGCATTTTTAAAGTTTCGTTCGTTTTTTTGTCTCGTTAGGTTAGTCAGAATTGAAAAAAATTGTTTATATATTTCGATACGTATTTTTATACCAAGCGAGAGTATTTTTTTTAAGAATAGGTGTCGGTACGTTTTTAACCCTAAAATGAAAAATAGATCATTCATTGGCAAACTGACACAGACACAGGTACCTACGCGGTTAGCACCAAAGGACAATTAGGCGTCAACAATAATGGGCCACAATGCAACAATGGTAACAACAACCAAAACATGTTACGTGAATTGTGCGCGATTTCAGCACTATCGAGTGCGCGGCGGGGCGACCGCGGCGACTTTGTCGGCCTACGTTTACGCCCGACCTTAGCGCAAGGGCGGCACTTTGAGCTGCACCTAATATTTCAAATCGCAACAATGACTCGGTAAGATTTGTGTGCGGAAATTGATTTTTTAGAATGTAACATTCTCACGAGCTTTGACAGGTTGGTTTATTAACGCCGAATGACCGCTCGAAGGGACGGGAAGCGGCCGACGGTGTTCACCCGCTTTACGTATTCACTTCGGAAGTGACTATGGAATATTTATGTAGTTATGCGGTTATGATAAAAAAACAAGCATAAAAATTGTAAATAAAAGACACATGTGTACACAAAATGAATGGGGAAAACGTATCCCAATAGAATATTTTGTTTATACATACAGAGGGTACCTAGGTATTATTATTAGTGACCCCTTTTTTATCTCTATGCCTTATGTAGAGCACCAGACAGAATTGGATATAATTTTTTTTACTACAAAAAACAACACTATCATGGTGTCAGGCGGTAGCATAGCCGTTAATGCAGATGCTTGGATAGCGGAAGACTCAGGTTCGAATCCTGCCCGACACATTGACCGATTGGTTGTTTTTATTGTTAAAAATTGGCGATGGCTCTTTGGGAGTGCCGACAGAAGTGAAAACTCGTGATAAAAAGTCTCGTGTGACGCGTTGAGACGAGCGCTCACTCTTTTTTATTTAATCGTATTGTGTGAGCTTTCTGCGGACTCTTTAACTATTCTGGCATAGTAGGTATTGCGCAGTATATGGCTGCTTAAATTCGACTTTTTCAAAACCAGCGTTTATATTTTTTTAATTTAATTAGAATGCGGACTTTATACGCTATAAAATTTAATAATTAAGCTTTTCGAATGTGTCGTAGCAGGCGAAAGTATTTTTCAGAAAGTAATTTATAATAAAAAAAAAACTTCTTAAAATGAAGATTTTTTTAATAATATAATTTTGTTTGTAAACTAGTTAATCCATTCGATTATTTGTTAACTGATGGGTGCGCGGGACTTCGTCTGCGTGAAAAAATTGTTTTCCCATACAAACTTCGGCCCCCCTTTTCACCATATTAAAGGATGATTTCTGGGATAAAACTATCCTTTGTCCTTCCCCGGAACTCAAACTATCTATATACCGTATTTTATCTAAATCAGTTCAGCATTAATCGTGAAGAGGTAACAGAACGACAGACACGCTTTCGCATTTACTATGATAATATTAATAATAATCTTTATTCTCTCCACAACCAGTAAATCGACAATACAGTATTATAAGTAAAAAAAAACAATATTTAGTCGTTGCACATAACTACTTAAAGATATCATAGCACTTCAACAAAATAAAATAAAACTACCTTATAGCAACTTATTATATAACTTTAAAATAACCTACGCGGTACAAAGTATGAAGTTTTGAAAGTACTTACAAATTTGGGTTTCTGGTTATAATTAACACTTCCCTCACTGTGTATGGCACTAGATATTTACCAAACATAGCATTTCTATCAATATTAAACAGTAGCATTGTCATTAAATTCCTAAAATATGTTTTTTTTTCTGTTATGCAATTTTTTTAAGAATTTACCTCCCGTGCTAGTTAAAAGCTGTGTTACGGAGAAGTAATTATTCTCAAAATGATAGTATGTATGGATGGATTAATTAAAGAACCCAAATTAACGTTTTCATAGATAAAAGCTTATTAATTTACAAAAATTAACAGTGACAACCATAACGCTTAATCTATGCGTAGATCTCAACAAAATGGCGTAGTTGCGGTACTGCTTTAGCTTATATATACTGTGCTTTTCATAATGTTGGCCCCATCAGTAATCCAAGTCTGTGACCTCGAGTGCCGAACGCCACTCTGTCAAAATCGTTTCTTCTTTAAACTCCAGTAAGACTATAATGATGTTTCACTTCAAAACAAACTAAGCAAATTAATATAAACAAAAATAAATCCAAAAAACAAAAGTTTAAAATTAGTCATCCGAGTTCGAACCCAAGACCTCTTGTACTCGAAGGAGCATTTTTTGCTAACAAATCGAGCAGGTTGATACCTAAAATAAAATGATACCGAATATTAATGTAATATTCCGTATTATTTGTATATTTTGGATCGGATGTCACATACGTTAACTATTAAGGACGAGGTGCCTCTTGTTTTAATAAAAAACAAAATAAGTACATTGACAAAAGGTTGTAAATTTGCAGTTACAAAGTTTATTGTTTTGAGGTGACATCAATAAGCTAGACAATAAAACGCCCATTTTTCAAGGTCTTAAGTTACGCGATCGATTACGTCTCCGATCGAAGTTACGAATTGATGATAGAACACGTTTTTTGGAAGACGGACGGGCGTGCCTGAAACGTGAGTCAGACGATAAGCGCCGAGACGCTCGTTGAGACCATCAACAAAACGATAGTGCCTATAGCTAACCGCCCTCGATGTTCGTGTTATTGTTATGTTAATTGGGATTTTAAGGTTAAAAGCAACTAACTAATGCAAGTTTATTAAAGATAACCCGTAAACAAACTTCGTGGTGGAGTGGTCTGTGCACGAGCTTCAAGGTTTCGCATAATCTGAGGTCCTGGTTTCGAATGTTTGTACCTGAATTACGGCTGTTATCTATACTTATAATAAATCTGTAGAGATGTCAATTCTGTACATGAAATATATTTTTAAAATAACTATCAGGGGGTGATTAGTGATCGATACTGATGCCAAAAATGCAATCAGTAACATTTTTGTCTGTCTGTCTGTCTGTCTGTCTGTGTGTATGTTCCTTATAGAAACAAAAACTACTCAACGGATTTTAACGAAACTTGGTACAATTATTCTTCATACTCCTGGGCAGGTTATAGTATACTTTTCATCACGCTACAATCAATAGCAGCAGAGTAGTGAAGGGAAATGTTGGGAAAACGGGAGAAGTTACTCCGTTTTTTAAGCTTCCGTCGCGAGTGCAGCCTTAATGGTTAAAGTTACATAGAAATTATGTATGACGGAAATATTCTACATAAAATTGTCTAAAAAATATCCCGCAACAGCATATGTCTATCTTTTATGGTTGACTCACAATAACACGTGTAATTATATAAATAAAGTCATTCTTTATAACACAAGCCTGAGAACAAAAACTATAGTTTACACTACAGCTCTACACCGAAGCGAAGCGAGGGCGGGCCACTAGTTATACATATATCTCTGCGAAATATACTTAATGAAGTGAAACTTCTTTACGCACGCTTGACTTGGGGGGTAAGCTGGCGAATGCGTTACGCGTTACGAAAAGTGTGTTCGGGCGAGGCGAACGGGAGTGGAGTGGGGGATATAAGCAAGAGAAAGCAGTGCGTGCGCACATTTTCTTTCTCTCTCTTTCTCGTATAGCTAGTAAATGAAATATGTATATGTACATACATGTATATATTGCACACACACACACACACACATATATACATATATTTACATACAGAAGGAGCTAAAGAAGTTTCATTTCAGTTGTGTGGCCATAAGCACACTCGTTGTTTTTAAATGTAACTTTATATGTTACTAATGTTTAGGAGGTCCTTATAACATTAATGTATTTTTTGCTACCTATGCACTCGATATATTTCGTCTCATAAAGCCAGATGCACTACACGCGTCTATTACGGCATGTTCGTCTGAAATAAGGTCATAAGGTCCGCCGAAGCGAGGCGTTTCGCGCACGATACACTGCTTCTGCAAAAGGCTTCGATTTCCGGCGTTGCGGTTTTAACATATGCTCTAACGTGATTGTATACAAAAACCGCACGGTACAATACACTGGCTAGCAATACGGTCAAGTCAATATATAAAAACCGCACATCGGAAGAGAGGTAGGGCATAGCGTATTTTCCACTCGAATTGGAGCGCCCGTCTGGGGAAGTTATATCCACCTTACAGAAGATAACACTACCTTAGTGATGTTGTATTTCTGTCCATGAGTAAAGGTTCCAGGGCTCCGTGGGGTGAGGGTTGGGTCGGAATATCGGTGCAAGTGATATTTTAAGTATCGCAAGTGTCTATAAGGCTACGGTGGCCGCTTACCATTAGGCAGGCCATACACCTGTTTGCCACCTTTTTAAACACGCTGGGCCCCCGCGAGGATTGGTCGTTGTACGTAGGTATTTTCGGTGCAAATTTTTAATGCGTGTGTGATTTGTGCATGTGGATGGACTAGCAATATTTTGGATCGTAATTTGGCAATATGCAACGTTTCAGTTTTGTTTCTTATTTAAGTTTTTTCTATTTTTTATATGGGATGGGTATAAAAATTATCTAATTATTTAAACAAAAAATGATTTCATAAGTTAAAGATTCTCATTTGAGAATGACTGGAATTTCTTAAATCTTATGTGTAGGAAGTACATATTTGATCTGCAACTATTATTCGCGCATCTATCTACTATTAATGCTGTTGCTACACTTTTGATGTAATGGGGAATGTAGAAATATTTAAACTTGAAATGAACTCACCGCCCAGTATGCCGTCGATGCTGTAATCCTTCTTCCCGTCGGGGTCTCTCGAGCCCCCGCGCAGCAGCCTCGAAATGGATGAAATGCTCGGTGGGTCCGTTACGCCTTCCTGAAATCATTGTATAACTGTTAGGCCGTTTGTCCATCGCGGCCATCAACTGGGCATCTACGAGACCGAGATGACGGTGCCGAAGTAGCGACACATACATTTAGTGCAATAACGCACGAGCCGTCAGCCGCGGAGGATGTCGGTAGCGCAGATGTCAATTTGTATGGTTCACCCGCGCGGTTACGCGGAATCCAGTGCATTAAGGTACCTAAATGACTATACAAATTAACATAGACGCAACCGCCATCCGCTGCGGTTGGCGGCTCGTGCGTTATGCTGCTTACTAAAGCCACTTGTCCACAACAAGCACGTCACGTCATCTTGATCTCATTCAGAAATAATCTGTTTCTTGTTGACTTCCCGGTGACGGCCGCGGTGAACAAACGGCCTTATGTTGACATCCATACTCAATCCTAATGCGGAGCTCGATGGCGCAGGTGAATAGCGCGTTAGACCTGCAATAGTGGAAATTAAGCAACTTTCGCAATGGTCGGTCGTTGGAGAGGTGAACAAAACTTATTATCTCGAGCTCCTCCGTGCTTCGAAGCACGGCAAGTTACATCGTTGGTCTCGGTTGTAATTGCAGTCGTTAGCACCCACCAATCCGCACTGGGCCCGCTTGGCAGATCATGGCCCAATCTTCCTATACCATCCATAGGGAAGGTCTGTGCCCCGGCAGTGGAGACATCAATAGGCTTGTGATAACTCTTAGTATGGAGTTATTAGGAATGCAAAAGTATGTGTGTCTGTCTGCCTGTTACCTCTTTAGGCTTTAACTACTGAACCCATTTGAATATAATTTGGTATATAGTTACCTACATAGTTTGAGTCCTGGGACAGGATATTGGATATTTTTATCCTTGATATCATCTGTTAAGGGGATGAAAAGGGGGGTGGAAGTTTCCATGGGAAATCAATATTTCCACGCAGACGAACGCCGATTAGTTATGATATATTTGTAGAATTCACGTGCCATTTAAGTACTAAAAGACCGATTTTTTTATAAGTAATATTATGAATTTTGTTATATTTCTGATGCTGCACTAGCTTTTAAGCAAGCGTGGACAGAAGCGTGGACGCGCTAAAACTTGGCGTTTCTGGTACATCTGATATTGCGATAGGGCCAATGAAAAACATTTTGCTGTCGTCTCGAGAATGTAATCGCTGTAACTAAACTAGAACTTTAGATAATTAATTAGAAATGTGGTCATTTTATGGCGAGTATTTGCCATTAGAGTGTAACACACATTAATTCATTGATTTGAATGATCTATTTCAATGTTCTCAGTCGTCCACCTCCCACCACTTGACCTTCGTTTAGATATAAATGCTTTTTGCCGCCGTATCTATTGCTTAAAATAATCAAAGACCGCTCACGGATTTAGCGACTGTAAAAAGAACTCCTAATTTTATAACTCGTTTTTTGTTATCTGTTACTCAATCCGATGTGATTTTTATTCTGTTAGAAGGAACTTGACATTTTTCTTGAATTGTGAAAGTTAAGGAAAACTTGAGGTCTTAATCAATGTAAAATATATCTCTTAGTTAAAATAAACATTATAATCAAATAAATTAACCAAAACGATTGAGAGGAAATGTTTTTGGTGAAGGGACGGATATTTTTGTTAGTACTTTTTATGAGTGGGTAGTAACAAGTGATCCATGATGGACAAGCCATTCGCACGAATAACTATCTAAATATATGATAAAAATAAAGTTTTTTACAAATTAAAAAATAATGACATAACATGCATTTAATTAAGTCTAACATGCATCTGTCTCAGTTAAAAAACTAAATAAGCTCATATTTTGTGTTTTTACACAATAAAATATGTTGATCTAGATTATTATGCAAAACCCAAAACCAACTTTCAACCTTACAATAACGTTGACTGACAACGGAATTAATAAGCTTCTCGTTTAATTAACACAATGTTACCTTAATAAGTTTTTCCCGTATTTCCCAGGAAAATATGCCCGGGTTTTGTCGCTTGAGCTCTTCTATTCTGGCTTCCACTTCTGGTGTTGCTACCCGCGGCTTTGAACCACCGATCACACCAGGCCTGATAGAACCCGTTTCCTGTTAAGTTTTCCCATTATTATATGTCAATTTTACTATCAAATGCTCCATAGTTATATTTCATTCAAATACTTTGTATCTGATTTATATAGATAAGGTGAGAGTTAAGGCTTGTGACGTCATTTTGGTTATTTATCGTATTATATTGCTATACTAGGAGTATATTTTAATTTAAATGATAAGAGTAAGAAATAAAGTATTTTAATTTAGCACAATAAAGTCTTGTAAAATAAATCTTACTAAAAATTCTTTTAACTTTGAAAGAAAAATTATAAATGATAAAGGAAAACCTAGTGATGATTTTTGTGATAGGTATACTTTAACCTTTATATTGATCGATAATAACATGTTTCCTTGAACTTTAATATCATCTGCTAATATGATTTGATTGAAGGTTACACTGCAAACATCAAATATGAAAGGGAGTAGGGTTTTGACCTTTTGGATCACATCATTGTAACGTTTTTACTTGCAGCTTTCAATACGAATAATTTACGTTAGCCAATAAATACTATTGCGACGTAATACATACAAACATATTTTCACGCCATATATCTCTTGTGGGGTTGGCAGAGCATGAAAGGTGCAGCTTTTGAGTAAGATAAACATACTCTCATAGTCACACCTTATACAGGGCCGCAGCATAGGGGGGCATTATGGAGCAATACCCGACCTTAAAATACCATTACCGTACCTTAATAAATACCATCGATATCGACTTAATAAGATTGAACTAATTCTAGGGACGAGGATTGTGGCGGGAGGGTGTAAATCCTGCTTTTGCCTCACCTGTAATAACCACTGCCCTATCCTAAATACAACTCTGGCTACGGTCTGGCGTAAAAGTTTCGTTATTGTTTTTCTTGATTTCTGTATTGGTCTATTTTGTTTGAAACCTCATTATGAGAAGCCGCACGCACCCCACGCCAAAGCGTAGAGAAACGCTTCCTGGGTAAACAATGGACGCATTGTGGTCAAGACCTGGTGAAAATAGACCTTCAGGCTTCGCTGGCCATGGATCAATGGCGATTGTTCGCATTCAACTACTACCACACCACCGACACGTGGTAGTAAACCTCTGAACAAATCTAACATTTTTCAATTCGGTTCTCAATTTAAAACTTTGTTTAATACAAATAAACGCAATCAGAGAATGTTGGTTGCTGCTAAAAGGTGCTAAAGTCGTTCTAACTTCGAATCTTGCATAGATAGTGTGTCAATTTAAAAATAATTATTTTGTTTGTTTTGGAGCTTTAAGTAACTATATGAGCAACTAAAGCTAAACAATGTGATATGGTAACTTCAATAATAAAATATTAGATGTTTCATTCATTATATCAAATATACATAAATATAAAGATCTAGGGTTAGTATAAAGATATATAGAATAATGTAAATTCAAAAGTAGTGTGATATGGTATGGTAAGAGTTTCAATTAGATCGGTGGTCCCACAACAAAAACTCGACAGGTTTTATTTAATAAAGAAGGTCTTGAAAACGTTAAGTATATAGGAACTAGAACTGCGAAAGTAGTTGTTGTAGCAGAAATACTACAGCTGAGAATACTGAAAAGATTTCTAGTAATTTACTCAATGTAAATTTACGGTAATTTTCCCAAAATTTCATACTTTGACTCTCTCTTCTTCCACGTGATGACCTTTACCTTACTTATTGACACTGTGTCACTGTGACAATAGTTAGATGTGAATATGAAAGTTTAAAAAATTGTGAACAATCTTGCTAGTCTACACAATTCCATTACAGTCCACTTTTATGTTATAGGTACTATAAATTAAAATGAAAGAAAAGCACAATATGTTACAAATTATTGTATTCGGAAGTCAAAACTAATGGCAAGAATGCTATCATGTCATAAAGTTAGTTCGATTCTTATTAGGTATCAGTATACCTAATAAAGGAGAATTACCTTAGTAGGTAATTTTCCTTTTTTCTCTTAGAGTACCGGTTCACAGTTGGTATATTATATTTCTTATATCCCCGCTGTGGATATACCACGATAGCCGGTATATCAGGTAACTAAAAACTAATAAACTATATAAGCTCTTCACGGAAAACATTTAAGAGGTAACAGACTAGCCAATGAAAATCCATTAATTCGTGTGGTTTTTGTTAAAACAAATAAAAAATCATCATTCATCAAAATAATCAGGGGCTTCTGAACTTCCAGACAGAGTTTGTAATGTTTTTGGTGAATTATGGATAGATAAGACCATTTTTATTTAATGATCCCATTTTTTTTCAAATACAGCGTAAGGAATGCGAATCAGTAAATTTCCGCTTGTATTTTTGTCTTACCCATACTTTTCAGTTTCCTGGGAAAAAGTAAAACATTGTCTGTAAGTATACCGAAAACCGGTTTCATAGATACCTTATCAGATACTCCAACATCCATAAATGTCACAGAGAAGAAGTTTAGTTGAAGAGAAGGGAAATTTTGGGTCAATGATGGATGATCTAAAAACCCATGAAAGAAGTTTTGTAAGGTTGCCAGTTTTATTTTTGATTTTTTTATATATAAATAGGTCCGATAAATGACTCTACCCCAATTATATAAAGTGACGGTACAGCAGTTTTACCTGCTACACCAGCCATCCTCACCTTGCAGGTCTATAATGGGTGTTTTCACACATCTTTCAAAGGTTGTAAGAGGTAGTGAACGCGTGAGCTAGCAAAGTAAAGTATTCCATTAGTGTGACAAAGACATAAGTCACCATATTTCTTTGTTTGCTTTGGAATAGTGGCTTCAGTACAGTAAGTCGGTGACAATGTAGGCCAACGCGCATGGTTCTCTTAAATCAAGGGAAAGGTGGAATGGGGGTGGAAAACTCCTCGGAATACTCGTCGTAGTAAAAACGATTGAACGTGCTTACTGATTCCACATCACGGCTTAATTGATGAGACGGCTTAAGTGTTTAGTCACCTCCTTATCGCCAATGATGCTAGCGCACACTGTTGACCTGGATACTCTTAGCATTAAGCCCCTAGACGCCTAATGATACACAAATATATCTGACAGCACATCTGATTACTAAATCAGATAAATCACCCCGCAGGGAATTATTTTTTTTTTTTTTTTTTTTTCTATTTATTTGGGTAAACAAACAGTTACAAAGTAAGTACATAACAATTCAGTATTGGTGATTAGATACATAACTTTGAAACCAGCACCGTTTACCACTTATATATAAAAAAACATATTAAAAACAGCGTTGAGTGTGGTGATATTCTAAGTATCACTAAAAAATGTTGATTAACAAAGAAACAAATTAAATTTGATTAAATTCAGAAATCTAACGGTGTTTACAAGTATTTTGGTAAATGAATGAAAACTATAATATAATTTATCATAAATCAAAATTGTTATTTTTTATGCTCTAAGTTTGGCAATTAACATCTTTTTAATTATTCAAGCAGTGTCAACCATTTTTGAGAAATACTGACACGCGTTTGGAGTGCAAAAAAATTTAAAAAATTGTACATATGTCCAAATGGCTCCGTGTACCATTATGATATCATTTACTTACATTATGATCTTGTATAAGCCAATTAAAGCGCAGTCCCTTTGCTTCGTCGTGTCTCGGGCAGTTGCCAGAATTCATTGAGTATTAAAAATATAACGTTAGGCGTCTTGTGGCTATGTAGTCGGTGCATTGAGTTCAACCAAAAGTAGAAATGTGGTCCAAAACTTCAAGGAGTTCAATGATAAGATTCTCCCGTTGCGTGTCCGAAATTTCTCGCATTAACGATCTGCATAGCAATAAATATTCCTGAGAGGAATTAAATCATTCATATGTTGCAGAAAATTGTAGGAAAACGATAAGACGGAACCCTGAGGCACGCCGACATTCACTGACAGGAACCGTGAACTACTACAATCCATAAGGACACGAATTCTACGTTCATGCAGGAAGTCAGTTCCTGTAGCATGAGCACCACACTATACATTATGACTCATTTTTCTAGCGGTTAAAACTCCTTAGTAATTTGACAAATGAGAGAGATAAAAAGAAGTTTTATTATCAAATTGCGATGCTCATGCTAAGGCCAGGTACAGAACTGACCACGCAGATCGTATGCCGGGAGCTTGGAGAGAAGGCTTTTGTGCCATACCCGGTCGTAAGCATTTTTTTATCAAATTTAAATACATTAAATTTTTGCTTTTGCTGCGCACATTCAGTACATTTTTAATGCAATCTGCGAAAAAACCACTCTTCAAAGCAGTTGGAAATGATAAAAATGTTAAGGAATTCACTTCGAAAAATTGGTGAGTTAGTTTAATCGAGCAATGTTGAAATATGGGACAGAGTGTGTGAATGTTGTTGTAATATACATTCGATTAAGAAAGAATATTTGTGATTTAATAGAAAACCTCATGTCTCATGTGTTCTTCACTGTGCATTATATTGTGCAAATTAATTTATATTATTTTGGGCCTTTAACGAACACGATTGTTTTAGCGAACAAATGTTTGATACTTTGATTACATTGTGCCAGTTAATTTACGCGTAACCCTAATTCAGGATGTAATATTAGTTTAAATGTTTGTCTTTTAATAGAAACGCAGAGTTATATAGTTATTTTACTTGTTTACTTCAGTGTCTGTGAGAAGATAAATACAGATGAAGTTATTTAGTTTTGATAAAATTAATATAGGGATAGGATTTTGAGAATATTCGCAATAATTTCACACGAGAGAATGCTTTTACTAGAATATACCAACTTGTCTGAAGACGATTAAAATCAGGGCCTGAATTGAGTAACTTTATTGATTTGAAAGTTGTTGGGTAAGAGATATGTTAATTATTTATCGAACTTTAATAACCAAAATAAAAAAAGTACACTTAATGCTATTAGCACAGAGAGCAACCAGTTTAGTCGAGTCAATGAAGCTTTTTACCTGGAAACCCGGTGGAACAGCTTCGATTTTGATGATTTTTTTAATAATTTTGTTTTTTTTATATTATTTGAAATCAGAAACCTCTGGAGAGGGGGAAATATTTTTTTATATTGTTTAAACAATTTTTATGACATTTTTGAAAAAAAAAATTATAAAATATCAATTGAAAACTCACAAAAAAATATGTTTACGTTATTGTTTTCATATTGTTATCACAAATAATTTTAATTTACATGTTATTATATCAAAAACTTTTAAAAAACAATTAATTATAAGATCTCATTTCATTTTTCATTTCATTTAATATAATGACATGACGCTGATATACATAAAAAAAGTTAGGATATATTTCATAAAATATAAGAAATTAATAGTTTCATTATTAATATAAATAAAAAAAATATTACTAACAAAACTACCTATATGATGTATATATATATATATATATATATATAAATTGGGTCAGAGGCCGCGCTCTCACGGATCCCGAGGTCGATTCACTCAGAGCAGCCTACAATTTTGCTTCCAAGGCCTGTAAGAAGGCTTACATCAGAGCGGATGCCCAGCGCGTTGCACGTATTGGCCAGGAACTTATAACGCATCCTACGCTCCCGTAGCTACTGGCGTTTGGCCAAGGCCGTGCAAAAAACCTTCTGCCAGCCCTCGCTGCCACCTCTGAGATGCCCAGACGGAACACTAGCTCATAAGCCGCAGGAGAAAGCCGATTTACTGGCAAAACTCTTTGCGGCTAACTCCCGAATCGATAATTGCAATGCACTACCACCATGATTACCTCACTGTGGCACAACGATGCCTGATATTAAAATCAGGCAGTGTGAGGTTCGTGCCGAATTGCAATCACTCGACGTCCGGAAAGCTAGTGGACCTGATGGCATCCCAGCAGTAGTACTGAAAAAATGTGCAACGGAGTTGTCTCCGGTGCTCACGCGCTTGTACCAATGCTCGTATTCTTTGGGGCGTGTGCCGGAGACTTGGAGAGATGCTTACGTGCGACCGGTGCCCAAAAAAGGAGATCGCTCAGACCCGGCAAACTACCGGCCAATAGCAGTCATCTCAGTTTTATGTAAAGTTCAAGAAAAGCTCCTTAATAACCATCTGACCCGTCATCATATTATATATTTATTTTATTTGTTTATCATCTTCAGGGACACAACACTACCGCTACAGAGGTTTCTGATTTTGAATAATATAAAAAAACCAAATTTTAAAAAAATATATCAAAATCGAAGCTGTTCCACCGGGTTTCCAAGTTTTGCCTGTTTTATGTCTTTATTGATTCGGCTAGTTAAGCTTTGGAAGAAAACGGTTTGGCGAACTGAATTATTTTCTTTATAATTAAATAATTAATGTTATACATAATATTTTATCTTAAGAATAATAATGCTTGTAGATACTTCTCAAATGTCTTAGAAAAATATTGACAAGTTCGCGAACGATAATAATTAAACAGTTGTTAGTAGGAAAAAAATCTGAGCTAAACTTAAATTATGTAAGCAAGTATTTTAAAAGCTACACAATAAAGAATGCTATGATAGTGTTCGGTGTTTAAAAACGCTTCTCGCTTTTTTCGTGTAAAGGTAATTGTTTAATATTTTTTTTTAACTTTCATACTTTTTTATTTCTCCTATGCTGTGATGGGAGTCAATAGGCTTAGCTAATTTTCTCGCTTAAAAAGTTCACCATAAAGTATCTAATTTGTTCACCAAAAAGGAATTATTGTAGGGAAGGTAACTATTTACCAATTTTAATTGTAGCGGCATATCAATGTTGCATTTATACCTGTAACTCAGTAGTGGTCAAGAAATTTTGAACGGAAAAAAGTTAAGTGTGACTAATAACTAGAAATATTTATATTTCTAAGTCTACTGTATTTCCGTAACGGATTTATAAAAAGCAACGACTTATTTAGAAACGACTGTTATCAATGAACTTAGCGTTCCAATAGTTTTCATTACCTGATATACTTTTCAGTATAATGAAGTTTTAAGTTCCACATGTATTCCAAACATTTTTGCTCAGACACTAAGTATTTGTTTACAATTCGGATTTGATTTCTAAAAAGAACGCCAGTTTATACGACAATCCTTATGGATGCAAGTAAACTTAGCGCAATTTTCATTTTTTTGACTTTCAATAGAAAAGCTAATTCTAAGCCTTCAAAGTTCTAAGCATTATAATGTGCTGTCAATATTCACCTAATCTATTAAAGCTGCATAAGTATTACATTTAATACTTCCTTAGGTATGATATCTGAATAGTAATAGTATGTGATACCTGGTATCTGTTGAGTATCTTGGAGACGCAGCCGTGCGAGACCCGGAGCTGTCGTGAGATGACGCAGGGCCGGACTCCCGCGGCCGCCATTTCCACAATCTTCAGCCTGATGTGATTCGGTAAGGGCCGCCCATTGATGAAAAGGCCTCCAAGCTGGTTTACACGACCTTGACCTGGCCAAACAATATGACTACTTAAAAAAGATTACTTTAAAAGTCTCCTCGCATTTTCCAATAAAATAGTTTGCATTTACAAATTGTCTTAAAATTAAAATTTACTTTTAAATAAAGGCGTACTGAAACCATAGGATTTTTATTTGAAGGAAACTATTTTTTATATTTTGTTGGATAATGAGCCAAGAAAGAGAGTAAGTTTTAAGCTTACTTAGGTTATGGTCAGATCTTGACTTTTTTGTGATTACAATTTAATTATCAAATATTTATTTTATTTAATTATCATTTTTATAAATTTATATTTGTATCAATAGTTCAGTATTAAAATACATACAACCACGTTAGTTGGAATATATAATTAAAACAAATTTATGAGTCTACTTAACAAAATATGTCGTGTCAAATAACTATGAAATCTTTTAGGCAAATACTAAAACTATCGTGACAATAATTGAGAATTATTCTCAAATAACTACATAATAATATGAATATTGTAAAATAAGGTATAACACTCTGCGGAATTATTAGATGACATATTAACATTCTGAATATAGACATTTAACTATAAAAAATATTATTATTATACCCTTACCTACCCACACATCCATACCATTTTGGTGGCGTTCCATAATGGTATGAGAGATCAACTTAATAATTCCATTAACAGCTCTCGCAGCCGGCACTAACTATAGTAACTCCACTGTAGAAGATCAAGCATCATACAAAGTCTCGCTTCCGTAGTAAAAACATTACACAGAAATTCTTAAACACCGTAAAAAAGTCACAATAGATGATAAATATCTGTTTACATTAAATTAAAAGAGTTCCGAACACGTAATTTAAATTGATTATCACTCATTCTTATTTACATAATTAAAACGACATGTTCAATTAATTACGCTGTCATAAATATTGTGATCGAAATAAATGGCTGCCCGGGCGACGCGTTCGGTTGTAAACGTCAGGTTTATCCGACTATAGGAATGAAGCCTATCAGGCGGCTAGTTTTTTCGATTCGAAAAAAGATCGATAGATCGCTTTATCTTTTTTTTCTGCGCGTGAGTGCGGTAGATGAGGTTGTGTAGTGAACTGAGAGTGCCGCTGTGTTTGTGCAGACAGGGTGAGCTGTGCATGTGTGCGTGAGCTCTACCAAGGAGATTATACTGAGGGCCCAAATGGGTGTGTGGGTGAGTGCATGGAACACTCCCACTGTGTAAGTGTGAAATATGTAGTGGAGCCACACCACAATCGAGTTGGGATAATTATTTTATTTAATTACTGGCTACGGGTTGAAGATAAAACAATGCACCACTACTACTCTTCTTTTCAAAGTTTTCTTAAGTTTTGTTGTTCAGTAACGTTAATTGAACTAACACGGAACTTCAAAGTTGGATTCAACTTTTTTTGTAAGAACACACAAAGCTTTAGTAGATTAAATTATACAATGATAAATATTTAAATTGAATGATTAATTTGAGTTAAATTTTCCGATATAACAACTGACAAGTATTTTTTGTATATGAATTGCTATGTTTTTTAATTTGGTTTTTCTTCAATTTTCAAACACTCTTAAAATTGGTATAAAGAAATCAATAATATATTATTCTTTAGAGAAAATGATTAATTTTTTTAGGATAAATAAATTAAGAGTTTGTCACCCGAGTAGCGTACCAAAACAAGCGCGAGCGCATTGGAGGGGCGAGTTCTGCCCACCATTACGAAGAGTACCCATAGAAATATATGCGTCTCTCTCTAACAGAGCACTGGCGCTGTACCATTGTTTTAACCCTTTTTAGTAACCAAACGATTTGTTGCGGTTTGTCAATATTAATCCCGGTCACTATATTCTGTTGAGAGGTCAACAGGTGTCCATCAGTGTTAAAGTATATATGCTATAATGTCAAACTACTATAGATAATTATCAATTATGTTATGTTACAGTTGAAATGGCGATTAATGAGTGCTTACGAAGTATTCAGAGTTATGGACTATACTGATAAATAAATGGTAATATGCGAATCGGAATCTATAAGCAATCCTTGCCTATTCACGGTTGCTGATTATAAAGTTTGAATATTTATTAAATTATAATTTTATTTAATTGTTCACCGTTGGACTTTGGGGTCCTAAGGTGCGTCAATGGCGACCTCGCACAGGGAAGTTGCAGCGTAGACCCCTCATCAGGTGGACTGACGGCATCATGCGAGTCAGGAGACCCACTGGATGCGAAAAGCTCAGGATCGTTGTGTGTTTAAATGTGAAATCCATTGGCTGATGATGATGATGAACTGTTCACCTTTATTGGACTAATAGGCTGAGACTGAGACTCATGAAAATAATAGCATACGGAGTGTATGCTATTATTTTCTTATGGATATTTCATTATATACATATATGATTATTTATATCATTAAAAAGATTCTTTTGCTTTTGGGGTGCTATTTCACACCTACCCTAGGCGTGAGTGATACTCAGAAATCACAAGCGTCCTAATAGGTTACGGTGATCACTTACAGCCACACGGGCCATTATGCTTGTTTGTCTCCTCTTAAACATAAAAATTGGCCAAGCGGCGAGCTCGTCTGCGCTCTAATAGGGATCCGTAAAGTCAGTTTTTTTATGAAGGCAACATTGCTTCTTACCATATTATCCTGTTATTGAAGCTATCTAATATCTAATAGTTCGTTTCAGAGTTCGACCTCGAGTTTTCGTCACAACTTTAAAATACATTATGAATAGGCGTTTTCAGTAATTGTTGTTTAAATACAGCATATTATTAGAATTATTATACCAAAAATTCCATTCTTAACTAGTTTCGATTTTAAGATAGACCCCGTAACAAAAATGGTCTAAAAATGACAACTCTGACGACCTCCATTTCCTTTGCTATTGACAACTTAGACGACCCTCATTTACTCTGTTATTGAAAATGAATAATAATATTTATATCCCAAAAAACGATCTCTAGACAACGATGTGTTACACGTTGGGATAAGCAAATATTTTATTTACTCTTTTTCTTGTACGGGCCTCCATAAAAAATAATTAAATAGAATATTTAACTAAATATTCAGCTTTGGGCAAGCATTCTACATAAAACACCAAAATTTTTGTTCTGTAACTTATTCCGTTTACGATATAGAGACCCGTGACATACGGAATGACAGACAAATGACAAAGCGATAGCAGTAGGGTTCCGTTTTTACACTTTATGTACGGTATCCTAAAAAAGGTATCACACACAGGGGTTTCGGGGTAGGGACCCTGTATAGGATTTGCCCCACCTACACCTACGCCAGTATGTTATCTAGTCTCTTCTCTTCTTCAGGACACGTCTGTCCTAGTATCATAACAGTGTGGATTTATTTGACTGCACTTTACTAAATGGAAAATTACTTTCAAACCGGCCGATTCAATATTAACAGTTAATTAAATGTACCTCGTTGCCAAACTTTTATAATAAAAGCAAAGTTTGATTTGCATTTACTCTGCTGCTAATTTCAAAGTGCATCTTCCAGTGCATCGATAAATTAAAATTGATCAACTCATAGCATAGGGAAAATTCGGAAACCGTAACAGGTACAAAGACCATAGTAGGTCATTGCTTGGGTCCAAATATTGTTCGAAAAACTATTGCTTCAAGACATTTCCAATTTTCACAATAATATACCTAGGTATTTAGAGCAACATGCACTCGGCAGGGTCATCCCAAACGTTGGGAGACCAGGAGATGTATCACGGGGTGATACGGTCGATGGCACGTTATGGAGCTCTGGTTTGGGCTGAGTGCCTCAAACCCCGCACGGTGGCCCTGCTGCGACGACCGCAGAGGACCATCGCGACCCGGACCGTGCGAGCGTATCGAACGGTCAGTCACGGAGCCGCCTGTGTACTCGCGGGTGGAACGCCGTGTGATCTCGATGCGCAGGTCCTGGCAGACGTGTATCGAGGTCGGGTTGAAGCCAGGTTGCGGGGTGAAAGACTTGTCCCAGCAGAGCTGTGGCTGGTCCGTTCCATCGCACAGGCAGATAACTTTCGGCGATGGGATGAGGCACTCGCCCAAGTGATACGGCCACCGGACGATTGAGGCCATTTGTCCGGTGTTGGTGGAGTGGGTGGGGCGCGGCGGCCTCAAGTTCCGCAGGTGCAGATCTTGACCGGGCATGGATGCTTCGGTCACTATCTGCACCGTGTCGCACGCCGCAATGTCATCATTGCGGTGCCCCGGACGACACGGCTAAGCACACCTTATTGGAATGCGGTCTGGCGACACCAGCGCCTTGAGCTCATTGCGGTGCTGGGATGCGGAGCCCTCTCACTGCGGAACATGGCGGAGGCCATACTCCGCAGCGAGAGGGCGTGGGAGGCGGCTGAGAGTAAGTGGGACGATGATCCTCTGGCCGCTCCCTCAGCAAGCAGCTTTGAGGGTATTCACAGGGGTTTTTAGCGGATATTATGTCGTAAAGCGCCCGTAAGAGGGCTCGTAAGGCTTGCAGGAGCCAGGTATGAGATCCGTTCGGCGGTGTGCCTCTTAAAGGCGCCGTCGTCTGTAAATAGTATATTTAGCCTGCGCATAAAAAAAAGGTATTTAGAGCAACATGCAGTTTTTTGTACTTTGTGCACTGTGGTTACTGTGTAACTATGTAATGTGCACAAATATTGCTTTATTTGCTACGTTGACAGCGCTGATAGCGAGCAATTGTAGTCATTAAGGTGAAAATACGTTATTGTGTCCACCTGTTACTGAATTCTTTAATGTGGTGAATTTAATTATACATTATGTGCACAATTATTTAAGTAGTTACGAAAAGTATGGTCTTACGACATCATAGTGTCATTGGGGTAAAAGCCGGATAGTAGCTGCAGTGTTATGTTTGCCCTGGTTTTAAAAACACTACGTTAGGGATGTTGCTGTCGTAAATTATAACATAAAGTATCTTTCCCGCAGGTTTTAATGTCATGTAAGTTGTTGAATAAGCGAATGCATTTTTTCTGTGTAAGTAAATAACTGCAAAACGTTGACGAACGTCGAAATTATATTAAGGACTACATTTTATTTTTTTTACTGATTGAGTATTCGGTAAACTTTTAGTTTATTTGCGCGCATTTTAGTTTAAATTACATTGTTTCTAGTGTTTCGATGTTCAAAAGAATTTATTCTATAAAATTAGGGCAAGTATCCATTTCCTAAAAGATAGTTGCCTTATTTACTTTTGCGAATAGATTTTATTTATCTAGAAAATACTGATTTTAATGTTTATCTAACTCGTGAATAAAAAGATAAAAAACTCTTTATTGCACAACACAGTAACAAAACAAGCAAATACAAAACAAGTAGAAAAATACAACATTGTACAAAGGGCGGTCTTATCGCTAATGAGCGATTTCTTCCAGACAACCCAATGAGCTGGAAATAAAATAAGGTAAGCGAGTAAGGGAGGTTGTGCGGAACACAAGGCAAAAGTTTTCCTGATAATTAGATTAGAAGAAGACGAAAAGGGGGAAAAAAATTAAAAGAAAAATACAATACAATAAGATAAATTTAAATTAAAAAAACTTGTTCAAAATATATTAAATTCCTATTTTAGGGACAATGCTTCGTAAACATCCTATAAATAATAATAAAAGATGCAACATGCCAGCATCTGCTTATCCAAGTAAGCAAGGGTAACGTTGTTGGAGAAAAAAATGGCAACTACAATAAAAGTTCCAGTGCAAGTCAGACACAAACAAGTAATATTAAAAATTGCTCACACAAATTGATAAAATATGTTTGTGCCTGAAAAAATATAGTTTGGTAGTTTATCTCTACAAGAGGCGAGTTTCCCCCATATAATTGTTATTAATAGGCTGCTATCCAATCAAGAAGGCAACAATCCCTTTTATGAGAAGTGTAATAAAACTAGAATTAATCAGTACCAATATTAATTAAATAAAAAAAAAAATAAAGATTAATGACGAAAGTATTGATATATATCATGAATCACTACTAGTAAGTCTCTATTTTTTTTTTAAATTTAAATAGATATTTATTGTAAAGTGGGGCAACTATTCGACTTTCACCCTATAGTAGCGGATTATTTAACACTAATTGCAGAAATTTATAGGGCATCTTAAGTAAATGCCGGTCATCCGATGGTTGAACAAAATTTATTATCTCATGCTATTTCGTGCTTGGTAGGGCGCGTGAAGTCGTTTGTAACGGCTGCAGCTGGGTTGACATCGCGCTGGAGGTATCGCCCAGTCTGACTTTAAATCTCATAGCAAATTTATATTGACACTCGTAGTATGTGGATCCAAGTTTAGGCTCCTAACAATGTAATGGCGCCAATAAGATTTATATGTACGACAGTTGCTGAAAATCAGCATTTTGCATATTAACGCAAAACACTGCTGAGCTTCTGCCTATTTCCGTCATTGTCACTTACTAATGACTGT